TTCAAGGCCCAATAATTTTACCAATACATGTAGTACATGTACAGACATCTTTAGAGCGTTGTTATTCCTACACTTCAAGACAATTTAAATGGTATTTGAGAAAATGTTGATACCAAGGATGGATATTGAAGTATAAATCCTCAATAGCCATTTCAGTTTAAAGCACACATAAATATCTGTTATAGTTTTTAAGTGACGAGGAATTGTGCATATAGGCCTATTTTTATGGATTTTGTGAAGACGGCCAAAGTTTGTTGTCAAATACACTCTGGATGAAGCTGTGAAGGACAATCTATATTAAGAGGTTAATCTTCCAAAGGTAACGATTTTAGATCACATATCGACGGAATTCCAGATAAATATTACCATCATCTTAAAAGTCTTGTCTGATAAAAAAAAACGCCCCAAGAAATCACCCCTCTCCGTCCGGACATTCTCCTCTCAAAGAAAACAAAACTTTTACCGAACGTGTGATATGATGTGTACCACGAGCAAACAATTTAAGCGCCTTTATAAGCCTCCTCAACAATCGGTGTCGATTGTGCGGTGTGTTTTCATAACCCTGGAAGAGGTTTCGCTGAGCCGTATTCTCGACCGGACCCCCCTCCCTCGTACAACCTGCTAATCCGACCGTTCAAACATTCCGGCCGACCGATGGTGAATGCTTAATCGTTTCTCGTGCTTCGGTGAATTTGAATTCCCGACCCCGCTCTATTCCGTCTGAGGTTTTTTATTGAAAATGTGCAGCATCTGTGCCCACAACACGCACATCGACCATAATTTCTCCAGGGGTCTACCCGATGTTTCCCAAAACCTATGCTCCCCAATATCGATGTTCCCCGAAATCCTTAGGATAGGAGGGTCCGGGAACATAGGGGAACACAAAAGGTACAAAGGGAACATAGGTACCCATTTTCCCTGTACACAACCATGGAACAAGGAATACCATGATGTAACAAAACTTGTTGTGATTGAATCGCATAATCGCATAATTATGAGTACACAATGTAAAAAAATTTCAAATCTGCTTTCATTGAACTTCGGAGCATGAACGATTGAACACTGTTAGTTTCTGCACATGCATATGCTTACACCCATAATGAAAGTTTAAAAACTCTGATGTTTTGTAACTTACAGTGTTAGACCTACTCCAAGACAAAAACCATGAACATATAACTGTGAACAAAACAACACAATTTTAACAAAAGATGTTGATGATAACCTTTTAATACTGTATTTGTATAATATAATAAACCAACAGAAACGATTACATTTACATTAATTCGTGTGAATCTGAGGAAATTGACTTAGATTAAACCTCCAGTACACACACATGACATGTCATTACTAGCAGATGCCTTTCACCAGCTAACAAAATCGATGCGCACAATCGATCGATTGAACAAACTCATAATTTTTGAACGATTTGGAGAATGTTCCATCTACATTGTAGTGATTTATGAAAAGAACAAGAATATTGAATACGAGTTGCACTGTTGGCGTGAGCCTTTCAACAAATTTTCGAAAAGATTATAAATTTTACATGCTTGGAATACAGGATGAGTCAATAAAAAAACGATACCCAAATGTTGGGACTATTGTTTTATTGAAGTTCTGCATGTAGCATTTTCCAAACTCTAGGATATGAAAGCCCAATTCATAAGTTTTCTTTTAGTACAAGAATCATTCAAATCACTCATGTACTTTTCAAGTTACGGAATTTTAAACACAACCACCGTTTTAAGGTTCTGTTGATAGGTGTGCGTTCTTTCAATTCACACACATCCCTATGTGATTTGTTTTCGTTTTGCTGAAAGAACACTGAACTTTTTGGTGATCCGTGGACAGAACCTTAAAATTCCGTAACTTGAAAAGTACATGAGTGATTTGAATGATTCTTGTACTAAAAGAACGCTTATGAATTGCAGATTTTGAAAATGCTACATGCAGAACTTCAATAAAACAATAGTCCCAACATTTGGGCTTCGTTTTTTTTTACTCACCCTGTAGTAATCAAATTAATAACCACAGAGAAACGAAGTACAGCTGCAACATCATCTTGAAAAAATGTTTTGTTAGATAAATACATAGGGCCTACGTGTAGTTCGATTTAAACAGGACCTGCCCAAGGGCAGAACACCTTATATATTGTATATAGTTACAGACGAGCCCGTCACAAGTCCTACAATCTCAGTCAAGACTTAAGTAAAAAAAAAATATCCAAATGAATTGTGACAATACATTGTACAAATGCATTGCCTTTCATCCCATGTTATATAACTTATATGTTGTGACTGAACTTGTGATGGACTTGTTATAGTTCGACTACAACACTAGCTTGGTAACCAAATCTTACACGGTACACTATGCATGAGATTGAACTGAATGACCAATAGATCGATTGCAATCAGCAGACATCTTTGGGGTGTGTGTTGTTATGGTAGTCCATAAACAATGAATGCACAAGAGTTCTACTCATGCGCACAACCGCCCACACCTCAAAGATTGGCTGAAATGCAAACTGGGAACACGCAACTTGAATCGTTCTTTCATAAAATTGCATCAACCTGTAGCGATGTGGTCTGGGTGTTCTTGTTGCCTTAATACCCCGCTGTTACGTGCGGTGGAAGCATCAAATTGCGACCCAACCACGAGTTCATTCTGTAATCAGCTAGTCCCCTTATATATTTTTTGGTCGGTTCTAGTTGTTCGCCGACTAGGATCAATCTCCCCCCCCCCCCCCGTGAAATAAGCGGTGTGCATTTCATGGCCGTGAGCGGTGTTCCCGGTCAACCTTATCAGCGGCGAATTCCTCAACACTTGGGTAGTCCGCTCGCTTTTAAATTGGCTAAGGGACGGCCTCAAAAGCTAAGACAATATTTATCCAATAACAAAACGCCGGCGACGAGGCACATTGTGTTCGGCGTCTTGACCAATTAGCGACCATTTTAAGTAACTGACGAAAAAGTCGTTCAGATCAGCAAGCAGTGATATTGATACTGATTAGATTTTGTGTTTTTGTAACATTAATTCTTAGGGAGCACAATGATCATAAACAACAACATGGAATTTAATAACATGTAATGTGGACATTTCATGACAATGCAATATTAATTTTACAGAGGTTACAGTGAATGTCGCAATGAACGTTTTCTTTGCATAAGTGTAATGAAGCAATTCTACAAACAGCCAAGTGATAATGAAAGTTCCAAAAATGATTTTGTACTCTTCTGCCATGGATGAACATTTGGACAGACCTTAAAAAGCTGACATGGAGTAGGGAAAACATGAGCCAAACATATTAGTGCCACATGTTCGGCGGACTTCTTAACAAAATAAAGGGCACAAAAACAGTGCAGGATTTAGGTTACATAAGTCACTAACACACCCCAATCATGGTACTAAAGTAGGGTAAAGTACTGAGGCTTTTTCTAATTAAAGGAGGCATTATTTTGTTTCGATTAGCCGGCACGAAATTGGAGACTCCATCAACTTCATCTCGACACAACAAAAGGCATGACAAAGCCCAGGATGACAAATGACTGGGGACGTTCACTCCCAATAACCGATTTATCAGCTCCGACCAATAAAGCCCCCTTCACCAGGGCCTTACCGTGCCGCTGCGCCGTCTACTCGGTCCTTTGTCCCGGCCGAGAGGACCGCGATAATTGTGCTCTGAGAGGGGGATGCGGTAATTACAAGATCAAAAGGGCTTGGCAAAATTGAAATGGATACCCGCGTGGGGATCTCGATAATGACATGATCTCTCTTTTTTCCCCTGCCTCCTTTTTCTTTTCTCAGGGGAGGTTATGAAAACTGAACAATCGCTTATAAGAACTTAGAAGGCTGAGTCAATTTATATTCAGTCGTGTCATCACCAACTGTGGTTTGGTAACGGTAGCTTGTGTAAAAGAAAAACAGATTTGGTGTCTTTGAATATCTTCATGGAAAAATACGATCCCATTTACAAAACAGGTAAAATGTTGGATCACGCTACATGTACAAGTAGTTGGCTCTTAACAATTCACGAAATCTGATTGCAAATTGCATGTGTGTAGGGAAAAAATAATGACAATCACCGCTCAGAAAATAAATTACAATTTGGAATTCCTACATTTGAATCTGTTCCCCAATCAAGTGGCATTTTCAAGTTTACAAAAGCAAACAAGTTTCATCCCAATCAATACGAGTCTATTGATCACATTTGAGTCACGTGACTTCACTCCAGCGCCCGCACCCTTGGACCCATGTGTCATTGTCCACAGCGAACATAGCGCCTACTTTTCAATTACATGTACAAGTATCTGCCACAAAAAATTATCTTCCCAGAAATGAACTTTGAAATTAGGACCATCATTAATCTTTCGAGAAACTGGGACAAAACCCAGTTTCAATTTGATCAGGCGCAAACAAGAGATAAAAAAACATACAGCCTCATGTAAGCTGGGTATGAAATACATCTATAGACAAAGTTATGTTTCAGATATTGTTTGCAAGTCCGCTTTAAAGGGAAGATACAACCTTTGCAAACATCACAAAACGAAATGATCAAATTATCACCAAATACCTTACTGGATTGTTAGGGAATGACAGTCTAAAGCATCCTGTTAAATCGTGGCTCCTGACCAGCGTTGGAGAAACTTTTTTCAAAAACTGCTTGAAAACTCTTTGCTGCAAAAACTCTTTCCAATTGATTACACACCTGTGAAGGGGTACACGCCTGCTAGACTGATTCTATGACCTTACAAGTCTAGTCCCCAAAGTCTATACATTCTCCGTTTCATCTTAAGTGGGGTCAGGGAACCAGACTACAAGAACATGAATGGTTTTCTTGGTTTGTCCAGAATCAAGTCCAAAACGCGAAACATGTCATTTTGCTATATAAAGTATAACACACTAACCCTCCAAATCCATTTATTTCTGAAACTTGAAGCAAAAGCAAATGTTGTACGTTCCCTTTAAATACATCTATTAGTCTTACAATGAACCAGATGAATAGCATGTTTACATTTAATTAGAAACAATCGGCATTGCTTATGTCGGCATGATACCTCCTGGGATAACATTCTATACACAGAGATACGTAATGATATGCCCATGATAGTCGACACATTCCACGCAGCGACACATTCCACAGGCTTTAACAACCCAAGGTAAACGGCCGCCGTAAAGTAAACAAGACCGTTTATTTCCCCGACAATGTTTCAAAAAGTTAAACAGTGATACAGCAATTCTTAAACACGTTTGGGTTGGGATTAATTTTTACACCAGTTTGAGCGTCTTGAGTTACACATCTCTCGCAAGGAAAACTTGATGATCATATTCAGAATAAAAAAAAAATCATATTTGCGTAGTAATGTTTTTTTAACGATAATATACATAATGCAGTTACTAGTACTAGCATGGTTGGCCATACTTTGTAGTTTGTGCTAAACAATGGCCGTACCACCACCCTCAAAGTTAGTGTAGGCAATACTGTGAGCCTTGTTGGCTGGGTTTGGAGTTCTGGTATACTTGACCCCTAGACCAGGGGCGGGGTTCGCTTGTCCGGGGGCGGGGTTGGCAGCAGCCCCAGCAGTTTGGGCGTAAGACGGCAGGGAGGCGGCCTGCTTACGGTGTCCGTTGGTGCGGAAGATCCGGCCCAAGAAAGCTTCCCAGGACTGGACGGTCTTGGTGCTCCATATCCACATACCGCTGGTGATCCCGACCACGAGAAGCATGAATGTCTTGACAAGGAGTACAGGGACTGAGGGGATCGAGAATGCCATATTGCAGTCTCCATTAGGCAGGCAGGGGTTGGCATGAGTGGCTATGACTTCCCACACCTCCAAGTTAGCCCGCTGGTAAAAGTAACAAGCGATCACAGAGGTGGCTGGCACGGTGTACAGGACCGAGAACACCCCGATCCGCACCATCAGCTTCTCCAGCTTGTCGATGTTGGTGCCGCCGCTCTTCATGACCTTCCGGATGCGGAACATGTAGAAGAAGCCGGCGAGGATGAAGAGGGTGCCCACGGCGAAGTAGACGAAGAGCGGGGCCAGCACGAAGCCAGCCAGGGCCACGGGGTCCTGGTTGCCCACGAAGCACATCCCAGTCAGCTCGTCCCCGTCCATGCGGCGAAGCGTCAAGACAATGATGGTCTTGAGCGCTGGGAGGGCCCAGGCTGCGAGGTGGTAGTAACTGCTGTAAGCAGCAATAGCCTCGTAACCCCACTTCATCCCGGCCGCCAGGAACCAAGTCAAGGTGAGAATCACCCACCAGATGGAACTCGCCATGTAGAAGTAATACTGAATAAGGAACACCACTGTACAGCCAGTGCTCTCTAATCCTTCCTGTATCAGGTAATATTCATCCCCTGCAGTGTGGCCACACGCGATGGCACGAGGTCCTGCGAACAAACGGATGATGTAGGAGACGGAGTACATGTTGTAGCACATGGACAAAAAGATGATGGGTCTCTCAGGATACCTAAATCTCCCTCGATCAATCAAGAAGGTCAAGACAGTCACGGCCGTGCCGACGAAGCAAAGGATGGACCAGATCCCCATCCACAACTCGGCGAACTTTTTGTCCGATTGCTGGAAGTACACGTCCCGGTCGCACCGAGGAACGCACGACTTGGTCTGGGGTAACATGACGAATCGCTCGTGGTTTGGACACCGTCGGTTGTCGGTGCCGTTTGGCTTGCTGGACGGGGGAGTGGGTTTGGGTATCCCACCCCCTCCCCCAGGATGAAACCCTCCATCTGGGTCGACCGTCGCTCCTGCCTCTCCCTCGTTACCACCGGACATGTTGGGTGCCACCATGCACAGGTCGTCTCTCTCCACACCGCGGGGTAACGTATCACATTTCAGGGCGTCAGGCCACGATATTCCAAAGCTCTGCATAACGGGTTCGCACTTGTCCCGAACCGTCTCGCACATAGGCCGGCAGGCCGGTATGGGGATATCCACCTGAGGCGAGCACATAGGGGCGTACAGAGAGCACAAGAAGAACCGCAAATGCTCTGAACATCCGTAGGTAACCAAGGGAGAGAATTCATGGATGCGGGGCGCTGCCTCCGCTTGAGCATCATGCCCGAAGAAGTTAGGCATCCGTGTCATGTTATAACCAATATCCACGCACATTGGGATGGTGATCCGTTGGCACTGGTTCTGTCTCTGCTCAAGAGCGCTGGCCAAGCAAGCACTCGCAGTGACGACGATTAAAATCCGCACAAGTTGTGGAATCACTCCCGCCATGTTGTTAAAAGTTCGCTGATTCGATGCTACACTGTACTATAAAACTTGGCTACATCCGTACACCAAGTGGTGTGAACACGACGGCAAGTCCTCTTGTAAACACGGATCATCTATTCATGGCTCTTAGCTTAGCAGTCTCCCCAAACACCGGCAGTTCGCATGGGAACCTGGCCGTGTGTCCGCCGCCAGTCCCGTCTTTACTCGCCGAGCACCACACCGACACTGCGCCAGAGCCCTTGTGCCGCGTGCCGACTGCCTCTCCAACGGTGCTTCACCGATCGCTTGAGGGAGATCACAGCCACTCCAGCGGCTTTGTACCGCTGCCGACTCGCCACGGCTACAGTTAACGAGCTAGCGCATTAATAATGGTAATCCTCCATGCATGAAAAAATTATCGCGGCCACTCACGTACACAAACACACACAGAGTGCAGCGTGCAATAAGTCTACAGACTGAGGAAACACTGGATGCGCGCTTCTCCTTCGTGTGGATGGAATGAAGCAGAGAGAAACTGACTACAAATCTGCTGTCGCGAGAGAGAAAAAGTTGAAAGTGTATACACAAGTAGAACCACTGCTGTTTTTGTCCAGCACTTGGCCAAGACACATGCAACCCGCACGCAAACCGTTGGAACGCGATCCGCTCAGCGTAAACAGTGTCACAAAATCTCCCCTGCTGCTCGGCTCAGCCCGACTCGACAAGGCCGATAAAACGGCCCTGAGCATAGTATCAAACTGAACTTTGCCTAATGTGGTTCCCAGACCCGCACTCCACAGAGTCAAATCACACACTACTGTACAGTATCCAAGAGTATAGAGTCTGCTTACGATTGCGAGAGAGAAAAAAATCTGGCGGGCTAATAAAAACCAATTTCGGCCTGCTGCGGGGCTCGGATATAGGCCCCTCCCACAAAGAGTGCGGGTGATCTGCCGAGTTGTTCAGTGAACGAGCAATCACTTGAAAACGCAGATATTGCTGTGATATCTATACTCGCTATCTCCGTGGTATTTAGGGGGGATTATGGTTCGCAGGTATAAATGTTGATCGAATGGTATGACTAACAAATACCAAGGTTGTATCGCACATTACAGGCGTCGGCTTATTATTGACGGCGTTGTTTGGTGAAAACACAAACGCTGAGATTGGACCGAAACTTGTTTTTAGATAAGCATGATAAAGTGGAAATGTACTAATAAAATCGAACAATATTTTGGGATGCTTCGTTACCACTGCAAAAGCAGTAACAAAGCAATGTGTAAGAGCATGGCGAAAGGAAACAGAGCATTGACGTAGAATTTTAAAAACCCAAGAAACATTGAACAACACATGATTCAAACTTAGAAGTTAACGTAGGCCTATTCTACCAGTAAAGTTGCATCCTTCTTTCGAGAAAAAAGGTGCGTTTTCAATATGGCCCGCAAAACAGACAATTGTTATTAGAAACTACAAATTCTTAGAAAGAAAGAATTAGTGATGGGACGTTACAAGAATAGAAATGTAATGGAAACTAGCTTACTGGTGTCTTTGGGGAATTATAACCCCCTCCCCTGTTCATCAACATCCCGAGTTATCTTTCCGGCTAAGCCTGTTATCTCCTTACCCGTCGCTCGGCTTTGTTGTTCCAACTTCCAAGCAAGTCATTACTTATCTCAGGCTTTTAGAACGTGTAATCCCCCCACAACGCGTGTTTTAGTACCCCCTATTATGCTAATCAACAAAACCCACATCAAACAGCCGTAGCGGCCACACAGCCGCTGACAAAAACCCAAAAAAGCCATACACCAGTCAAGGCCCACAAAAGCAAGAGATGTTGATAGTTTCTGAGCCATTGAGCTGGTTAAACCGATACCCATTTTAACATGACAAAAGGCGCGATAAGTTGCGGGGGAAAAGTGACCGGTTTTTCTTCGGGGACTGCGAGGCTATTCACGCGGACTGTTAACAGCGGGAGTTCCATTAAAAATCGCCCGAAAGTTCCTGACAAAAATTCAAAGGGTTTCGTCAGTCCTTTTGGGGGATCGTGAATAATAAAGTCAACGCCATACAAATAACCCACTCCTGTGGGGCTTTTGTAAAGGGATTTTTTTCTGCTGAAAAAGCAGGGGCGAGGTAAAGAATCGCGAACGTCTGTCAAGTTGAAAACAGGCAATCAACAAACCCGCGTCTGGAGAATAGGTTGCGATGGCACGGTCTGCCATGCCGCCCTGCCAGAGACCATGCCGTGCCGCTACGGCGGTGCGTCCCACGGGCCCCAGCCCCGCTCCTGACTTAAGTACTGTATCGATTTAATTTGGTTCAAAAAGTCAGACGGCAATCATAACACCGCAGAAGAAGCAAAAAATAGTAAAAGAAGGGGTATGGGAATCCCACGTAATGATGGCTACGTGATCCGGGCCTTATACCAGGCCTAGAATTCCAAGGGGGAAGAACGTGCCCAGTCGGTGATTTCTAGGCAGTTTGGGGTTATATCGGCACGGGGATCCAAGCAGGTTTTCACGTAAATAAAACATGCCGTGCACCTGCCGCCAATATTAACCGATCGCTATCAGAAGCTGGAATCGTGCTGTAGAATAAAAACGAAACCACCGCACTTGCAACATTGTTTTTCTCTTTAACTCAAAGTTGCGATGTAGGCTATCCAATACATATATCTGTATGCCTGATCGCTCAACTTCACCTGTTTTCCTTTCGTAACAACAATCGTGTTTTTTTCTTGACAACGAAGTACATTAACTGAGTTAATATAAGTCCAACTGCTTCAATATTGCTATAGACAGAATGTAGTTGGAAACGTATGTGATGGTGTAAATGATGGGTGGTATACGTAATGTGTTTGGAATTGGACAGGCGTTGGAAGCAAAATAACAGCCTAGAGAGGGCGCGTCCTCTAAAGAAATGGAAACACTGCTATTAAGGTGGGCGTGGCGTTTTCTAAGCACCCTTTTTAATTATTTTGTCATTTTTATAGGTCCTTGTTTTGTTGAAACAAGGAGCAGGTTGCACGTTGATTAAACTGAGATCAACTGTAGCGATCACCTTATCAAAAAGTTTGGGTTTTGTCTGAAAAAAAAACCTGTTTAGGAGACTCCTTGTTAAAGTTTTCCCTTATAAGTTCTATAGTTTCTTATACAGCCGTCTTCACTCTTTTTTTCAATTTTTTTTCGGGGGGGGGGGGACCAACTTCCTCCTGAATTTATCTCAATCCTTGAGAGATTGGCGGAGGTCCGGACTTACGACACGTTTTCTCAAGGTACCCCTAAACTAGTCTATGGAATCCCTTGCACAGCCACAGTCTGTGATATGCGAGCTGATTCGGCGATTATTATGCAAAACAAGACTGTGGATCTTGATGTCAGGATTCATGGCTGACCATTCAGCGGGCGCCTTCTATCGGGTCTTCGGTGACCCGTTGTTGTATTACAAAACCATCATACCAATCAACAGCTTTCCACAGTTCTGATCGAAATGACGTCACAATTTCTGAAGATGACACTGATTGGCTGGTGCGCGGGTTCGCATACAATTTGCATGCTGGGATAATTATATCACACGTTTGTCGTGTGGCTCTGCACAGGTGAATGTCTGATACCCAGACTACAGTCGAATACCTTTATAACAAGGTCCTTGGGACTTTACAAATTACTTTGTTATAACAGGTACCTCGTATTAACAGCAACGGAAAACAAAGCAAAACAAAGAAAAACACAGACTTTGGACCAACAATTTTGCTTGTTTTAAGCAGGATGTTGTATTAACAGTGCTCTTCTTATCAGGGTTCGATTGTATACCCCTAAACAATCCCCAGTCTCGTTAATGGTGTCTCAAACTTTGCTAGATGTTTCTTTTGCCGTCGTGTGAACAGAACACCAGAACCGTGTCCAAAACTACTAGTTACCTCGTAAACTGATCTGCTCCGGCATCAAGCGATGTTTAGCTTTCCCGGCCCCGTCCTTCAGAGGGTATTAAGTCCAGCTCACCGGGCGGTGTCACTGCGGGCGAACAAGAGCCTCCCGTCCCTCCACATCCCGTCAACCTTCCCGTGTCCCCGGACCCCGAACAACGACGGAACATTCCCTGAATCCTCGACACAAATCCCGACTTTGAATTAAAAAAAAGAGGAATGTGGCATTCTCAATTGAGCTGATTTGATCTGATGAAACGTGTCGAGATTCATTGTATTCTGTCAGAGAGCAATTGAGCAAAGGAGACAATTCAAGTGTTTATAAATGAGATACAGTTTCTCTGGATTTTGAGATGGTGTGCTTTTGTTCATTTCTGTTCAATAAATTGATGCGAAAAGAGTCACTTGTTCAATGTAGTGGCGCTAGCGGGGGGGCGCACGGGGGAAGCTCCCCTCCCCCGGTTAAAATCTTGAATTGAGAATTTTTGCCCCCCCCCCCAAAAAAGTTGTGTTCTGGATCCGCCCTTGCATGCTTTAGCTTGAATGCAGCGCGCGTTGGGTATGCTCGGAATTCCCTGGGTAGCACTGCCAATATTGCCAAGACTGGAATTGAATCATCTTGTTGATAGCGACCGGCTGTACAAGGGGAATCAAATTAAAATTCAGTCTTGTGCCAAGACTATGTCCCCCATAGCCACGTGGGACCAACTCGAGAGTTTCATATCATTAATAATCCATATATCAGTTCGTGCATACGGGCCTCCTTTCCCTCTTAATTACGAAACATCTGTGTAAGGGTTTTTCATCAATAATTCATCCGGGTTTTTATTTTCAGGAATCCGAAAGCCAGCTGCAGCCGTGATTTCATCTCAATCAACTCCGACGTGCCCCGTCAAGGCCACCGTGGATTATCGGTGAAAAAAAGTGGTGCATGTTTACATATCGCCATTATTTTATTTTTCTAAATACTGAAAATCCAAAGACATGTAAGGAGACATTCTGGCGATTAATTTTGTTGAGAATTACTATTGAACGCTCTGAAATTTATGGAACAATAAAACTATTTGAGAAAAAAAATGTGTTGCTTTAAAAAAAGTGCCCGTCTGTCTGTTTTTAAAATAACTACAAAACCATGAGGCCAATTTTGAAAATGTTTGATTGTGCAGATACTCCTAAGCCTTGGCCTCAACCCCTATGAGTTTCATTTAATTTCAGTCACGCATCACTGCACAATGATCAGTTGATCACATCAACATTTTTTGGACACTGTGACCAAGTTCCAAGCCTGAATCAGTTTCAGTTCTGTGTTATGTAAGCTGTGCAAAATCCTGAATGTTGAGAAAATAGGCTGCTGTGGTTTGGGATTGGAATCATTTGCAAACTGATGTCTTGCCATGATGACTGATAGCCAGGCAAATGATTCCAATCCCAACTGCAGCCCTTTTCACATCATTAAGGGTTTTACACAGCTCACTTTACACAGTACTGAAATTGAATAAGGCAAGGAACTTGGTCACGTCGTCACAGTGTCCGAAAATGTTGTTGTTATCAATTGACAATTGTGTAGTGATGCGTGACTGAAATTAAATGAAACTCATGGGCCTTATTCACGAGTCGGCCATATTGAATTGAAAGTGAGGTCAAATCTTCATTTTTGGGAACTTCTGTATAGAACTGAACGCACTACGTTACAATAATACAAGTCTGCTCTGATGAATAATTTAAAATTTGTGATTAAACATACTCTTAATGTTTTAAGCCACGTTTAAAAGAAAACGAAAGTGAGGCTAGAGTGAATAAATAGTCTGACACCATCCCTTCAACAGTTCACAATTTATGAAACACATTCAGGGAACACGACAAAAATGGCTTCCTCTTGAATAAGGTCCATTGGGGGTTTATTTCACGTATTTTGGGACATACTGTACAGTACTGTCGAATGGGCATTAGAGATCCAAGTTTCCCGGACTGGTATATGGAAGTTCAAATTGGCACTAAGGTCCTCGGCAAATTTGCTGCAACACTCGCAGAATGAGAAACACGAAGACTGTGATGATCGCTCCCAATTTGCCAAGATTTGTACCGAAACAGGTGGTTGCAACGACCCTGGCTACACATTTTATTGTCGGTTCCCTACGAACGCCTCTTCACGTCCTTCCAGCGGCTTGATAATAAACATTCC